GCCGCGGGCCCCGCCCCCACCTGGTAGGCGCCCTGGAAGTGGCGGCAGTGACCGGCGAAGGGCGTGTCCTCGGCCTCCGCGAGCAGCGCCTTGGTGCTGGTGGACCGGTGCGGCGTGGGCTTCGGGACGGGGCACCCCCACATCTTTCCCACCGGGGAAGGGCAGCCAGGCCCCATCGGCACCTTGGGGTCCGGGCCCCCCGCCAGCCTAGGAAGGGCCAGATTGGGGGTTGGGAGGGCCGTGCCCTCCTCCCGCCCCTCCCCGCGCCTTGTGTGTGGGGGGGGGCCCTGAAAGCTTGATGCTAGGGGGCCCCCAAGCCAGTGACGTCAGCATGGAGCTTTGCGGGTCCCCTAGTAGGGTGCTGTCTGAGCAGGAAGGTGCACGGAGTGCTCTGGGGTCCTCCACAGGGAGGCCCAGCCTCCCTGGGGGGCCCTGGGGGCCTCAGGTTAGGCATCTCTCCCAACTCTGGGGAGTATCCAGCGCTCCAGACTAGGGGGCCCCATCTGGCCCCTTCCCTTTAGTCCCCAGGTGCCCCAGCGTGCTGGGGGTGCCGGTGTCCTCCCCTGGCCAGCCTCCGCTCCACTTCAACCATGGCCTGCGATCCCGGGTCCTCTATGACCGCCTTCTGCACTGGCGGGAGTGGACTCTCCCTCCCGCGTGGCCAGCACCAGCATCAGGGCCTCGGGGAGCTGGGGGAGCTGGCAGGGGCTGCTTGGCGGTGCCCCGCCCCACCAGGCCCCACACCGCTGCCCCCACCCAGTCCCCGGCAGGGAGGGGCCCTCGCTGCTGCTCACGTGTTGGTGCCGCCTGTACCTGGCGCCCGGCGAGGCCCCAGCAGCAGCAATGGCTCCAAGCAGCGGGCGAACTCGGCCCTGTGGTCGCTGGAGACCTGGGCAGGGCAGCAGGGGTGAGGCAGCCTCCTCCCACCCTCCCACCGGGCCCCTCCCGCACCACCACCTCTCCAAGCACCTTGCTGCTCTGCGAGGGCCTGAGGCGATGTGGCCCTGTGACGACGCCCTGCAGCCGCTGGATAAGCTCCTGGGCAGAGGTGGGCACTCAGCTCAAGTCAAGGGGTGGGGAGGAGGCCCAAGCGGAACGTCAGTCTCTGGAGGCCGTAGCCCTTCCCTGGCCAGGACCCCCAACCCCTACACATACAAGGCCACAGGCCAGGTGGGGGTGGCCAGGCTGCAGCGATTGGGAACTTTGGGGAGCAGGGCCTGCTGCTCTTTTAAAGTGGACTCAGGGGCCCTCCCTCATGGTGCGAGGCGTCAAGCACAGTACTGTGAAGCCACCGCAGCACGCGTTTGACCCCAGGCCAGGGAGCGACCCACAGGGTGCAGCAGACCTCTCCTGTCTCCCCTCAGCAGTGGATGTCAGTAGACTGCTCCCCACTCTGTCTCTGGAGAGTCCTCTCAACCCCCGCACTGTGGCCTGTACCCCGGCCCTGTATGCATCAATAAGTAAATCTCAAAATAAGTAAATAAATAAAATGGACTCAGAGGTCCCCAAAGGGTGTGTAGCTAGATGCTGGCTTGGAGGCTGGAGAAACCCAGCACCCCCGGCCACTCCAGAAAGCAGGCTGTGGGCCCCAAGGTGGCCACCTGGTCGGGAGGCCCACAGGAGCCGGGGACTCACGTAGCCCAGGTCCAGAAACTCCGCCTTGCTGGCCAAGCTGAGGAAGGATGAGCAGATGACCAGGTGAACCTGCAGGAGGGACGCTGCTCAGCGCCTGGACGGGGGAGGAGGCCTCAGGCTGGGGCGTCAGACCCCCCTCCTCACCTGCAGGGTGGGCAGCAGAGTGGCCAAGTGGGACAGCTGCTCCTTGAAGGCCTTGTCCTTCTCTTCGTACTGGCTGGGGAGGGGACGGCACCTCATCTCCAAGAGGAGGGCTGCCACCCCGCTGGGGGGAGCTCAGCATCGGGTGATTCTATCTCCCCCCGCTCTGTGGTCTGTCACTCACCCCTTCCCGTGTCCTGAGCCCCTGTCCTCAGCAGGTGGACACCCGCATGCTCTCCAGGTGGGGCACGGGCCCTGGGTGCCAGGTGCAGGGGGGGGGAGGGCCCGCCGCACTCACCTCTGCACGGCCTGCAGCAGCAGGTCCTTCCTCTCCGCCAGCTTGTCCTGGAGGCAGAGTCAGTGCCGGGGGCATGGCCCAGCCCTCCCAGGCCACCCCTGCCCAGCCACAGCCCTCTGCCGCCAGCCCTGCTACCCAGCAGCCGTCTCCCTCCCGCTTGCGGTCCCATCCCACGGCAGCCCCCCCCCCCGCCCCCGCAGCCCGCGGGCAGCCCCGCTCCCCCTCTGCCTCTGCCTCCCCGACACTGTGCTCTCAGAGAAGTAGCGGAAGTAGCTGGCGGAGCCCCCTGGCGCCCGGAGGCCAGCTGGGTCCGGCACCTGCCCGCCTGAGAGCGCCCCTCGCCCGCCCTCACCTGCATGCTGTCAAAAAGGGCGCGGATGGCGGCCTGCTCGGCGGCGGCGCTGTGGCGGACCTCCTCCACCCTGGCCTGCAGCAGCCCGATGGCCTCCCGCGCGGCCGTCTGCAGCGCCTTCACGTCCTGGGGGCCGGCAGCTCAGCCTCCTGGGGCCTCCCGCACCCCCAGCCCGGGCACCCTGCGCTCACCAGCACGGCCTGCTCCAGCCGCTCGCAGCCCTGGACGTACGCGGACTCCAGGTCCACGCAGTGGGCCCGGCTCTCCCTGCCGGGAGGGAGCCGCGGTGAGCCTGGCTCTCAGCTGTCCCCATCACCCACCTCACCTCACCTCACCTCCGTTCCCCTACTCACCCCTGCATGTCCCCGAAGCAGCGGATGCACAGCAGCGACTTGGTGTCGGTGGAGAACATGATGTAGGGCTCCGCATGCAGCGCTGGGGGGCGCGGGTGAGCCTCGGCGTGGTCCCACCCGCCAGTCCCGTCTCCCTGCCCCCCGCCCCCCCGTGAGCGCCGAACTCACTGCACTTCTGGATCACGTCGCGGCTGCGCTGGCCCAGGGCCACGATGTCGTGGCGCGCGAACATGCGCGCTCGGTGCGTGTCCTCACGGCAGCGCCCGCACAGCGGCTGCCCGCACGTGTTGCAGAAGTACATGGTCTCCGCGTCCTGCGGGCACAGCGGGCTCAGCCAGCCCACCGCGCAGGGACCGCAGCCCCGCCTTTCCCTGGTGCGCCCCGCTGGGTGCGGGCTGCGCTCAGGGCAGCCCCTCGGGGAACCTGGGCCCATACACCAGTTTCCGGAGGCCAGCACGGAGGGTCAGAGGGTGGGTGAGCAGGTGCAGCAAGGAGCAGACCGGGAATGAACTGGGCAGGTGGTCCTTTCACCTTTTGCCTTGTACAAAACTGTCTGAAGGCCTTGCAAGCCCTCCTTGGCACCCTCAATAGTGGTCACATGGTAGTGCCACCTTATTAACTGGGCCTGGGGTTCCCTCTGCAGGCCAGACCCAAGCACAAGCCCTGACTCCTTACTTCAAGGCCATCTCCTCCCCGGCCCCAGCTCCTCACCTCTGCTGAAGTCTCCGAACGGTCACATCGACCCCAGCCCCTGCCCAACACACCCCAAGCTCGCTCCTGCAGGATCGGCCTCCCGGGGTTCCCAGTACCAGGGAGGAGGCCCAAGTGCCCTTTGCTGCCCAGCCCAAAGCCTGGCCCGTCCACTCCCTGGCCTTCCTAGACGGGAAGCACGCAGTCCTGGCTTCCCCGTGAGCTGGAGGCAGCTGCTCAGAGCTCCCCAAGAAACAGTGAGCCCCCCAGGGCTGCCCCAGACCTGCGCCTGAACCATCTTCTCTGTGCCAAGTCGTAACGCCATCCTGGCCTGGAAACTAGTAAGCTCTCCCCTAACCAGGTGACCGTAACGTAATGTCTCCACTCTCTGGACTAGAGGGGCACCCCACTGGGGCCCCAGGGGGCTTGGGGGGTGTTGGAGAATCTGGTCACGGTGGGCACACACTGCAGTCTGGGCCTCCTGCCCTGCGCCCTGCCTGTTTGGTGCACTCCAGGTCGCAGTTGGCACAGCGCACCACCTCCATGCCATCGCCGGAGCTGTCCACCAGGAACTGCAGCAGCCGGTCCACTGGGGGGAGCCCTCCAGGGCCCCTCACCGCGGTCTGGTGCCTGCAGAGAGCAGCCAAGATCCAGGTGCCCCTTCTCCAGGCTCGGCCCCTTCCCACCCCACGTTCCAGAAAGTAAAAATAGTTAGGGGTGGCCTGGCGTCTGCTATAAATAACTCAGTCCTGCTGGCTCCCCCTCCTCCCTGCCCAGTTCCGGGCGAATCCTGGGAGGCTGTGGGGCTCTGTCACCCTACTGCTCCCCCTGTCTTGAGTGGGTACCATGTACTTACGTTGCTCTAAGCCTTCAGGGACTCCCCACATGAGTGGGGGGTGTCCTGGTATTGCACTGAGATGCGGACCCAGCCTGACCTCTGATGGCTGGGAGGGGGGTGTTGGGCCCTAACCCAGGCCCAGCCAGTCTGACCTATACAACGGCAGAGCCTTCTAGTTCTGACTGGGAGAGGGGTGTCTGGGTGCAGCCCCTCCCGTGCTTCCAGCTGAGAGGGGCCCAGCTTTGCCCTCTCTGCGTCCAGGCCCGAGGCTGGCTCTCCGGCTCAGGGGGGAGGGGGGAGCGAGGTGGTCTGGGCGGGCTTGGGGCACTCACTGGCACAGCGGGCAGAGGAGGCGGCCCTCGGAGGCCCGGCCGCGCAGGCAGCCGGCGCAGAAGTCGTGGAAGCAGTCGAGCAGGCACGGATGCTCGTACTGCGCATGGCACAGCGGGCACGCGAGCGGGTGGCCGCTCAGGGAGTCCGGGGCGCCGGGGCCCTCCAGGGGCACGAAGATCGCTCCCGACATCGGCGGGTGGCGCGGAGACGGCGGGCGCGCGGCGTCCGCGGAGC